TGCAGCTAAAAAAGCCTCAAGGGCTTACTTGTTAGTTTTGGATTTTCATAGAAACAAAACAAGGCTTATGATTCAAAAGCTGTTGTACAAGATTCAGCACTAGTATGATCAAAGTCATTTGTTCCCCAGAATAAGATATTAGCTTTATACTAAACTAAGAGAGGAGGATATGGCAGTGTTGTTCTTCAGAACCAGTGCAGCAGCAGGTTATTTCACTTACAGAACAACCCTTCAATTATTCTATTAGAGTGGCATCTGCGGAGAAAATACAGCTATTCCAGTTTGGGGTGTTTTGTTTTACATTAGGGAAAATTAGCAGGAGAAAAATAAAAATAAGACCTTATTTTGTTTTGTGTTTTGGATTTTTTACATTTTTTATGTGTTGTCTTCTCAAAGCCTCCAAACGAGGGAAAGCCAAGACCTAATATTGATATTATTCTCAGTTGTGAGAGGAAAACTCTTATGGTTGAAGGGTCTGTTGAAAGGATGACAAAGATTTAGTTAGGGAAGAGCAATGATAGGATTTGGCAACTGTTTGAATACAGACTCCTAGGATAAAGAGTCAAGGATAGCTGTAAATTGGAGCCAGGGTAACTGAGGCGGGGGGTTGAGGGGAGTGATTTTATAACTTATAGAGGAGAGTAAGCAGGAATAGCTGGTTTGGGGTAGCAGATTAGTTTTAGATATGTTGATTTGAAGGTGCTAGTATTACAAACAGATGATGTCACAGGCAGTTCAGAATGCCCAGAGCCAGACCAAAAGGCTAAGCTCCTAGATGGATGTAAAAGATGCAGGGGTCAGTTGTATGGCTTGCTCATTTTCATATCACACATCCCTTTTTTCTACTCTCTTCTCCCAATATAGTGACTGTCACACAATTCAGTAGAATTTTGTTTGTGCAATAAAAGATGTAAGCCATGAAAGAAACACTTGAGAGAATGACTCTTGAAAGAAACGTAGGGAACGACTAGGAAAAGTGTGAAAGTGGACGAAGAAGTGGAGTGCGTGGTTCGGTGCTGTGGAAGCCCGGCAAGGGGAGAGTTGCACAGGAAGAGGCAGATCTGAATTGTGTTGGGTGGTGAGGAAGGCTGCTGATTACACAGCATCTCAGCTGGGATCTGAAGAGTGTGCTTACATGAAAAGCAGGAAGTAGTGGTTGTCCAGGGCTGAGGGGTGAGGGAAATGAGGAGTTGTTCAGTGGTGTAAAATTGCAGTTAGGAAGATGAAAAAATCCTAAACATCTGTTGTACAACACTGTTTACAGTAAAGAATACTGTACTGTACACTAAATTGTTAAGAAGGTAGACCTCGTGTGTTTTTTACCATCATTGTTTAAAAGGGACAAAAGAGGGGGGGAAATTCCTTGATATTTTTCTGGAGACTGTAATGTGAGCAGAAATTGAGACAAGGATTCTTTGGAACTGATTTTTTTTGTCTTTGCCCCCTGCATTGCTCCTGTCTGGATTCACTCTTAGTTTGGTTGAGAGGATTTCTGCAATTACATTAAAATGCTTGGTTATGGGATTGAGTAGGAGTAACCATCAAAGCAATAACTCTGCAGAGCAGTCATTTAACATTTCAGAAAGGCATTAAAATGCCTGAAGATGTGAATTTAAAAATAAGTGTCTTAGAGCAGCCCTCGCTTGTAGAACCTTCTGCGATGCCAGATGGAATCATCTGCACTCTCCTGTACAGTAGCCATAGCCACATGTGGCTGTTGGGCACTTGAATTGTGACTAGCGTGATTGAGAAACTGCATTTTTAACTTTATTTAATTTTAATTCATTTAAATTTAGTCACATGTGGCTGATTACTACCATATAAAGCAACACAGGTCAAGAGACTTCAGATAAGCTAGTTGGGGTATGAATGAAGTAGAAATTCAGTCCTTTTATTTCAAATCCCAAACATTTTGGATTTGAAATAAAAGCTGAAGAAAGGAGACCAGAACTTCAGCTTATGGTTTTAAAGTGAATCTTTTGGATCTGATGCAATCCTGTTTCTTTTGTGTTTGATCTTATCAGCTTTAAAAAGTTGATAGAAAGTATGTGGAGAAAAGAAACTTTCAGTAAAATGAGTTTACAGTAGAATTTATTAGCTGCTTTGGTCATTTTTAAAATTTTGTTTTTCACCTTCATATAAATATCCAAAGCAACCAACTGACACGATTGTAGAGTCCTCACCAGAAAAGGTGCTCCTTATACAGAATCAGGAGCTACCAGCCGTGGGCAAACTACAGCCCTCGGGCCGGATCCGGCCCGTTTGAAATGAATAAAACTAAAAAATAATAATAATAATAAAAAAAAATAAAAAAAAGACCGTACCCTTTTATGTAATGATGTTTACTTTGAATTTATATTAGTTCACACAAACACTCCATCCATGCTTTTGTTCCGGCCCTCCGGTCCAGTTTAAGAACCCGTTGTGGCCCTCGAGTCAAAAAGTTTGCCCATCCCTGAGCTAGACTGATCTTTCCAGTAGTGATGCCATTTCAAAAATGCAACTGAGGAGAAGGGTACTGATGGTGAAACTTAAAAATGTTAGTTTTTCCTTCTTTTCAGTGTCTAAACAACTCTTAGGTCAGGCACATTCTCTCTCCCTGGGCTATTGCAGTAACTTCCCAGCTGTTTTTGTGCCCGTGTGTATGTGTGTGTGGGGGGCATTGTTTTTGTGTGTGGGGTGTGTGTGTGTGTGTGTGTGTGAGACGCAGGGGCTATATCACTCCCAGAATTATATTATTGAAAACAGATCTCATCCACAGATATGCTTAAGAAATTTTACCTCAAATCAGTTTATAATAAAAAGTTTCCCACACATTTTTGGATATTGTTTTTCACTTTTGTAGTTAATGGGTTAAGTGGACATTTACTCAGCTGAAGGAAATAAACATGGTAAAATTTTTTTAAAAATTTTTATGTATTGATTTGAGAGAGAGATCAATTTGTTGCTCCACTGATTGAACCTGTAACCTTGGCATATCTGGATGACACTAACCAACTGAGCTACCCAGGCAGGGTGGTAAAACATTTTTTGTTAGTATATTGGAAACAAGAACTTTAACTATATTTACAGTCCAAACCCCAATAAATTCACATCTGGGAATCTTCCTAAAGAAACTAGCCTAAATACCACAAAATATGCCCCCAAAAACTCTTTGTACAAAGATATTTAAGATAGCATTATTTATAATAGTGAAAACTGTACACAACTTTGATATTCAACAATAGGGAAATAAAGTAAGTTGTAAATGCTAAAATTAATGTCTTCCCACATCACTTTGTGTATGGATCCACTATGGAACATATCATATGCTATATGCAGTTAGTTGCATGCAGTTCTGCCAATCTAACCATTCTTTGTGTCCCTATTGTGCCTAGCACAGTGTAAATGTTTAATAGTTTGCTGAATAAATGAATGTTGACACAAATGAAATTTTGTTTCAGTTGCTTATTAATTGGTTAAAACTAAGAGATGTTATATTCTTTTAAGTGCAGTAACTTTCAGTAATCTGAAAATGAATTTCAGATGCAAACATCTCTTATTCCAGAAAATATTATTGTAAGCAAAATAACAATTTCAAACATTTAAAGGTAAGTTTAAATGTGTGTGTATCAAATAGTGATTTTTTAAATAAACAAATCATCTTAGTAGTAAATCATTCTGCATCTCCAAATTCCCTTTGTACACTTTTATTTCTTCTCCCTGTATTTTTATGAATTTTATGTATTTTTATAAATGTAATTAAAAGAGTCCACTTACCTTCCTATTGGCATTTTTCTCCTCAAACCTATGATTTGTCCTCAGAATCAGTTTCTCTGACTTCATTGTTTATTTGAAATGATCAGTTGTAAGGGAAATTGCTTTTTACATACTAGTGCATTAGGCTATATTAAATGGAGAGTATTTAAGTTTTTACTTTATGTAACTTCCAGAGAGTAGCAAAGGGAAGAAATCTGTTATTTTCTTTGAAGTTATTTTTCTGGGTAAATCTTGATTATGGTTGATGTAGGCAAGAAATGCCAATATTTAAAATTTGAAATTATTTATTTTTACATGGAGTCCTCTAATGTACTTGACCAGTAAATTGAGATATATTTGTCATCACTTTATAAATATAACATAGATGATGCCTAGTTCTGAGTATGTAGCAGTTTAAGATTATCATTATTAAATATATTTATTTCTATAGAACCCTGGAATTTGATGATGAATTTGTGCCAAACTCATCAGGTCAGGGACCATATCTGTTTTGTTCATCACCCTGTGATTAAAGATCTGATTAAGCTCTTTTAAAAAATCATTGAATGCCTGACTGCCTACTTTTGCCAACTTGTATGGTGACTGCTTCCTAATAAAGTAAGGGATTGAAGCCACTATTTTGTGTTTGGTAGGCTGTTTGTAAGGAACAAAAAGACTCAGATTACTTTGTGCAGAGCTCAAGAAGGAGGGAGGAAGGGAGAGAAGAGAGCTATGATTAGGCTTTGCTTTCTCTAGTGAATCCATGGAAACTAGTGGTTTTCTCCTTAGAAGCAGGCATGGTTGATGCTTACTCTGGTGCCTCTTCATTATTCTCTCTTTGCTCCTGCTTCTGAGTGCTATTTGTTCCTCTTCTCCATCAGGTTACATTGCTTTCGTACAACTCCAGTACTCTAGAGTGACTTCTAGTGTTCTGGAATCCTACTGCTCCAGCTAATTACCCTCAGCTATTTAGGCAGAACTCTTTCACCAAGGCACCCATGGGCTGCAGGTCAGCTTCCATGTTTATTGGTCTAGTCCAGCGATTTTCAACCGCTGTGCCGCTAGAATTCTTAAAACATATAATACCTGACTATTTCATCCAGGGCACTGACTTCTTTTCCTCAGATTGTCAGAAAAAAAAATGACAATAGCCATCCAATGTGAATGAAATCAATATACCTTTCTTTTGTTGTCAGATCAGCAAAATACATTTTTTGGTGTGCTGCAGAATTTTAGTAATTAGTTTATGTGTGCCATAAGATAAAAAAGGTTGAAAATTGCTGCTTAGCCAGCTGTGGCCATGGGAAAGAGATATTGCCATCCTCAGATAAGAAATATACCTGGAGCTACCTCCTCAATTTAGACGCTTCCTGAGGAGGGCTTAGTGACAGCGAAAGCTTAATTTATTCTTTTCCTGTTCCCATGCTCTGTAATTTCCCACTCAGTGTTTATAATCTTTATAAACCATGGCACAGTCCCTATTTTTATATTACGGTTTTGGAGGACTTCTTTTTCAGAACTTTAAAATATTATTTGTATTATAGAAAATTAAGTGGGCATTTCTCCAATCTCTTCTCCTGCCTAAGAAGAACTTCAAAGCCGGAGGGCCTCCCTTGACTATTCCTGCTCCTCCACATGCCTATGGAGAAGGAAGTTAGTCCCTGATTGGAATTTTTGTGGCTTACAGATAATCACACTTAAATGGGGATCTAACAGATCAACATGTCATTGGCAATCTACCAGTTGTTAATACTAAATAGAATAGCAAGTGTCACAATAAGCATTGTTGTGTTCTCCTGTTTCTTAGGTTAAATTAACTTATACTTCTCCAAGTTTTACATTTTTCTTACTTAAACCCTCAAAACTTTATCTTTGATATAATTATTCCTATTTTATTTTTAAAAACCACGCAGGTCAAGTCAGTCATTGCTTTGGGGAGTTGCATGGAATTTAATTCTTTGAATTTAAACTTTCCTTTAGCTTTCAATTTGAGGTACTGTTAGGCAGGTTTTTATTATAGAGGCTGATAGTTTTCATTCATGTCAGCTATGGACTAAAAGTCTATGGCGCTGTAGAATGTGCCTGAGGAAGTGACATTTTGGGAGCCTACTGTGCACGCAGCATTGGTTAGGAGCTGGCCCCATTATCTTATTCATACAGTGGCCCTATGGTTTTTGTTGATCTGAGACCTAATACTGATTTTACATAATTCTGTTTTAGTACTTTAGCAAAAAGCATGCACCAGTGTAACTTTCTTAGAAATTCTGTCGCCACTAATACATACAACTTCTCTTTTAACAACAGGATAAAAGGATCAGAGTGTCTCAGCCCTTGACAAGAGGACCAAGTGCCTTTATTCCAGAGAAGGAAGTAAGTTTATTTGTCATAAAATACATGACAGGCTGATAAATAGTAATTATATCAAGGAATATCTCCATTTTTTAATATGGAAATAAACATGTGTTTTGCTCGTTTCTTATTTACATGTCAGAAAACTACGGAGATATTTTCTTTTCAAGTTCACTTAAAATATTGTATGTGTAATAATCTGCCTAAAATAATCGTTATTATTAGTAAGATTAGAAACAAATTTTAACATGTTTGATTTCAAATATAACTTTTCTGAGCAAAGCAGTTAACAGTCATAAAATTTAATATTAATCTGAAGGTTTTAGGTTTTAAAATGGCCACTGTCATGTTGATTATAGGTTACATAAATGTTAAGAAAGGATATTTTGAAATGAAAAAGTAAGTTTCCCAACTAAACCTGTTACGTTTCCTTATTAAACCAGTTATTAAACAAAACATGGTATTACATCACCAGTAGTTATTCTTTTCATTTGTTTCTAAGTCTTGATTGTACAAAATGCTACAGAGTCTCTGATAAAATCTGTACCTTTGGTGAGGGTGGGGAGTCAAGGTGGGGAATGCAAGAAGGAAAGATTGTAAAATGACACAAAGGAGATTAAAATCAGGACAGGATTTGTGCCTGTTGTGTGGGTGTGCATCTCTATGAGGATCACAGCAATGTGCAGGACCTTCTAGATTCCTAGATGCCTCTCAGATACACGTAGGCTAAGAAACGTTTGGGAACCACTAATAAAGGAGTTTTTCTCTGCTTCAAGGGGTTATTAACTCATATTGAATATGGTTATATATACTGATTCACTATGTATTGCAAAGATAGCATTTATCTCAAAGCATCAACATAATTCCCATATTGTTCTGAAATTAGTCAACAAATATTTATAGAGCATCTATTTTGTGCCAGGCATTGTCTTAATGGATGAGTAGAATTCAAATAAGACAGTCTAGGTCATTGCCAAAGTCAGCAGTTCCTTTACCTTCATTTCACTTTTTTAGTGACCTTGCAATTTAAATGAAAGATAGCAGTAATGTTTTAGGGGCTCAGTGACTATAGCTGACCTAGGAGGTGGCCATGCATTAAGAAACTGCTGTGCTAGCACCTAGTTCCCTCATATAGCATAGGTGTTACATATAAAGACTTCCTGAAAGAATCACTTTCACAGTATATATTTGAAGATAATCTGATCTGCAAAAGCTATCACTGTTTTCAGGATCTATTGCATTATATCAATCATTTGTTAATGTATGTTAGACATCAGTTTAACAGAAGAAACTTCTGCTGGGGAAAACAGAACAAAAACAACAAATACCTGGTATACTATCCCTAATTATATGTAGTTTATCAGGATCCTATTATTTTTAACAATCATCTTGGTCCCTATAGTTAACAAAATGGGGGAAATGGGTAAATGAACATATATTTTGGCTTTCTAATGAGCTAAAGTGAAATTGCTTTTTTACACCATTGTAATTAGCATTTCTTTGCAATTTACACTTTTCAAACATTATATTTCCTTTGGGATTAAATTTTTCTGTCAGTAGTGCCTTTTATATAACTTATGTAAAGAAGAGACTGTGGAGCCAGCCCTGTAAATTAACAGGGTTTCTTACGAGCAGTGTGGGTCTTTAAGAGATCTGTTTCCAGAGCAGGCTCTGCTAATCATGAGGTGCATGAGTTTAAATTTAATCTTGAATTTAATACAAGGAATACATTCTTTTTAAGTCTAGAACTCTAACTCTAAAATCAGTAAGTAATGAACCAGTACTAGAAATAGTATCTCATGCCTATTCATTCCCACAGAGCTGGGTCCTTCTACAAGGTGCTAATAAGCTCTTTACACCTTCCAAGCCAATTCTTGGTGTGATGCCCAACCTGTCATTGTGTATAAAATTATAATACAAAAAACCTATTTTTGAGTAAGCTCTATCGATTCCCTAGGATGGAGGGTGTCCATTTTAATAACTTACCTTGATTTTATAATTAACATCATAGTCTCAAAATAGGAACGACAGTATTTTCATGTTATTAATTTTTCAATTAACACTTTCCCAAAAATTATCATATTTTCCTTTGTCCCTAAAAAGGATTTCAGAAGGCCCCTTTATGATTTTGAAAAACAAAAACAAAGGATCAGACTGAAAATATTTGTCTAAAGATAATGTGATTAAATAACTTCATAGGCTATTGACATAAAATTATAGATGTATATAATCAAATGCCACTATTTTGCCTCAGCACAAATTGGTGTGACAATGGCCACGCATGTGGGCCCTGAAATATTTGCCTTATGTTCCTGGCAAAGCAGATGGAAGCTTCTTTTCTCCGATTTCATAGCTGTGTGTGCAATGTTTGATAATTTGACATTTGTTGTTTAATAAATGATGGTACCAGAGCCAAAAATGAGTGGTGCTTTCTTTTTACTTCTGTTTCCCATATGAGCAACTGTGTAATTCCAGCATCTGTTAATATCAAAAGAACATTCATTTGCTTCAATAGTGGCATAATTTATGTAAACCAAGGGTGTGTTTACTTCTCAATAATTATCTTGTTTTGGGTTTCTTGGTTGTAAGGTTGCTCAAGCAAACACAGCGGATGAACGTACTAACTTTCTTGTGGAAGAATACTCTACATCCGGTCGTCTGGACAACATCACCCAGGTCATGAGTCTGCACACTCAGTACCTGGAGTCTTTCCTGCGGAGCCAGTTCTACATGCTGCGCATGGACGGCCCCCTTCCTCTACCACACAGGCACTACATCGCAATAATGGTGACGCTGCGCTCACTTCTTTCTTCTTCCCTCTAGCATTATGAGTGTGGGTGTGTAGAACGAAGTATAATTGTAAGGACTTAAGAATTCAAGAAGGCTGTGGCCTTTTGGATACCAGGTCCCTTGGGTACATTCTGAATGCTTTAAACCACTTAATGTACTGAAAATTTCTCATTTAATTTTCACTAAAATCATTTTCTATACTTACTCTCTTATGATTAAAGATGCTTGTAGGGGCCAAAGTAATATTCCACAGGGTTTGCTTTTGCTCTTGATATCTTGTTTTTATTATTAGTATAAAACCAGTTTGTGACATTTTATTTAGTCATTTTATACATGAAAATAATTACTATTTTGGCTAAGAGGAAAGTACCAGTCTGCACCAATGGAGACTCTGGAGAAGAGAAGAATTCTTAAGTGAATGATAATACTTTTAAGTATAGTACTTGGCACTAGTTAACTAGTTAATGTTTGTGGGAGAGAATTATAAATTGGGGTGTTAGGCAGCAGGAATGAGAAGGGTAGAAAGAAGCAGTGTTACAGTTGCACTATTACCAGAGAAAAAGAGGAATGAATGTGATGCAAGTGCTTTATATTTGGAGATTTAGACCAGCTGGGCTGGCAGAGCTAGCAGAGATGGCCAGGACTTAGCAGATTGGTTTTACCAGGTTTACTTTGATTATCTTGTTTATGGTCTCACTGAAGTTTTAAACAAACACAAAAGGCAGCATTCTGTTTTATTGAATGATGAACTTGACTAAGAATATAATTTTAGCTTAAGGTTTTGATGACAGTAAGGCTGAAAACAGACCTAGAATGGTCATAAAGTAAGAAAGAAATAAAGATATAGAAATAATAAAACAACACTGTTTTACTGAGGAGCACTGAGGAAAGGAGCTGCAATAGTTTGTTGTGTGTGGGTTTATCTAGTTTTCAGTATCATGGCTGATTTTGGCTGCATAGGAGGGAAAGGGTCAGTGATCTTCAGTTTCTGCTCAGTGGTGTGCACAGATAAGACTGATGTCACAGTTATACCAAAGGCAATAAGACAGTGGTTCTCAACCTTCTGGCCCTTTAAATACAATTCCTCATGTTGTGACCCAACCATAAAATTATTTTCGTTGCTACTTCATAACTGTAATGTTGCTACTGTTATGAATCGTAATGTAAGTATCTGATATGCAGGATGGTCTTAGGCAACCCCTGTGAAAGGGTCGTTGGACCGCCAAAGGGGTCGCGACTCACAGGTTGAGAACCGCTGCAATAAGAGAATTACCCAAATTAGAATGCATTCTGAATTGGTAGAATACAAGTTAATGAGATTTTATTGTTTTAAATAGAGTACAGTTGATGTAATTTACCATAATGAAACAAACATGTACTTTCTTCACAAAATAAGAAAGTGGCTTTTAAGTTGACTGGCACCAACTTCTAGATGAGGAAGTAATTGACTTTGTGTGACAATTCATGTGCTTATACAAGTGTCAGCTTCCTGTATTGATTCAAGAATCTGGCCTCATTGTGATGAAAGTTTTAGAAGGAGGAATATTCTGTAAGACAAGAATTACTGGCTATAAAAATGATTAATTCCATCTAGATTTTTGTTTAGAAATAGTAGAATAAGACTCTACCATGACTTTTTATCAACTAACTCTTTGTGTTTTAGGCTGCAGCTAGACATCAGTGTTCTTACCTAATAAACATGCATGTGGATGAATTCCTAAAGACAGGAGGTATCGCTGAGTGGTTGAATGGTTTGAAATATGTACCACAAAGACTGAAAAACCTTAATGAAATAAATAAGCTGCTAGCACACCGACCCTGGCTGATCACGAAAGAGCACATTCAGGTACTGGATGTTTCTTTAAAATAAAAAAAATATTTACTAATGATTCCAACTGAGTAATTTTCTAGTTAAGTATTTTGCTTAAGACTCAATTTTTAAAAGTTGCATATATTAGGAACTTGAAAAATATATGTAGAAAAATAAATTTAGGAAGTCAGTGGGTTTACTATAAGTATGAATGACTGCTTCTCTTTGAGTAATCAATAATTAGCTTGCACAAGTGCTTTGAGTGGCTATGAGAAAAGCAGTGGGCAGAAGAAAGAAAATACACAGGCATGATAGGATACCTGGGGTCTAGTCTCTCCTCTGCTCCTCACAAGGTTGTGACCTTCAGTAAATTAACTTCTGTGGGCCTCAGTAGTTCCCCTGCTATAAAATAAGGGGCCTAGATTCCATGAGTTCTAAGCTCTTTTCCAGTTCTAACATTTAATCATTTTAAGATTTTCATGGAATGGTTTTGCAAATAAGAAGTGATTTGCCAGCTGGTGTGTGAATGTTTAAATGCCTGTGATGGCATTTAGAGTTGTGATGGACTAAGCACTTGTACTTCAAAAGGACCTTTCATCAAAGGCCAGCAGGGTGAGGTGGTTAGAGAATATTCTCAACACTGTGTGGGGCACTTAATAACTAATAAATAGGAGCAATCATCTAAATTATTGTCAATACAAGCCTAAGGCATTTAAAGTCTCTGCTTCTAATGCATTGAGATGTCCTTTTAAAAAAATATTACTAGATTACATTTTTGTTAGTTATTTGCCCAGTTATACTCACTTAGTTTTTGTCAATCTGTATATGCTCAGATTTCAATTACCTGTTTGGGAATCTCTGAAGAACAATGTTGTCCTGATGCTTATGTTCTGGTTTTGCAATATGTTCGTTAGATAAAGGAGTCACTCATTATTTTTATGTCACATGTTAATTACTTTGTGTCAGAAACTGGTGGGTCTAAAAGGATGGACACTGCCCTTGGGCCTGCTTGGAGTCTAGAGGAAGAGAGACAGTGATGACAGAATTAATAGCATATGAATGTGTGAGTAAAGAGAATTGATCCCCAGGTTTCATGAAAGAGGTCACATTTGAGCTACATCTTGAAGAATAAGGGGGAGTTTTGGAATAGAAGAGGACATTCCAGACCTAGAGCAGAGTATCTACACTAATAAAAAACAAAGATGCTAATTGACTGTACCTTCGCTACACCCATCAGCCAATCAGAAGAGTATGCAAATTAACCCAACAAAGATGGCTGTTAAATTTGCATACTGCAGGCGGGGCGGGACAGCGTGATCGGCCACGCGCCCCGCCGCCATCTGGGCCTGCCATCTGTGACCCGGGGAGGCAGGGCAGGCACTGCGGGGTCAGGCCTGCCATCTGCTACCCGTGGAGCGGGCCTAAGCCAGCAGGTGGTTATCTCCCGAGAGGTCCCAGACTGTGAGAGGGCACAGGTCGGGCTGAGGGATCCCCCCGCCAGTGCACAAATTTTTGTTCACTGGGCCTCTAGTGGAATATTATGATATGCTGAAAAAGTACTTAGCAGCTTTAGGTTACTGAAGTGAAGGAGTGGTTATGTGCAGTGGGGACAGGGGATGGAAAGAATTGGGATCCTATTGTATGACCCAATGAATACTGTGTTAAAGAATTTGTGTTTTACCCTCAGAAAGGTATGGTACCTCACAGAGTGCACAAAACAGTCCTTCAAAATGTTAGAAAATGTGTATGTGTATTCATATGTCATTCTTTTATAACTTTTGTTTCATAATAGTATTATAGTACATGTATATAACTATAAAATTTTGTAAATATATATTAATTTGTAAATAAATGTATTATCAGAGGTAGGCTTCCAATTGTTACTGATAGAAATATATGTGCTCAAAAGAGCTTAGAAACTATGATAGAGAGTCAAGAATCATTAAGGTTTTGAGCTGAGTTGCAATATGAGTATATTTGTTGATGCAGAAGATAAATTATAGATGGTACAGACTAGAAGCAGGGATGCCAGTCATAAAACAGTTGCAGTAATCCACCTGAGAGATTACCTTTTTTAAATTCATAGGCAGATGAAGAGGAGGGATCAGTATATAGTTATTCTGCATAAGAATAAGCAGGACTTAGTGACTGGCAGAATGTGAGGATGAAAAAGGAAGTGGGGTAGGAGAACCATTTTAAGGTTCTACCTTCCTGACTGGGCAAAAGGCAATGGCTTGAGCAGGAGATAACACACAGGCCTGAGAACAGGAAATTGTGGCATCCATGTAATGATATCCAGCTACTGGAGGAACTTCAGGTCTGTAACTCAAGATAAAGGATAGAGAAGAAATAAAATTGGATAGTTATTTACAGACTAGAGGCCCAGTGCACGAATTTGTGCACAGGTGGGGTCCCTTGGCCTAGCCGGCGATTGAGGCCGATCGGGCTGGCCGGTTGGGGGGAGGGACTGCGGGAGGTTGGCCTGCCATGGGAGGTTTGCTGTGGGAGTGCACTGACCACCAGGGGGCTGCTCCTTCATTGAGCATCTGCCCCTTGGTGGTCAGTGCGCATCATAGATACTGGCCAGTTGTCCGGTCATAATGGTCACTTAGGCTTTTATATATATAGATAAGCAAAGGTCAGGTTGAAGGAATGAATGATCCATTCAGGGAGAAATTGCACAAAAGAAGATCATGGGCAGAATAGAGAAGCCAACATTGTGGAGACAAGTAGAAAAAGGAGGAGTCTGCTAGGGAGATGAATTCCAAGAAGGAAGCAAGGAAAATGTAAATTCTACAGAGATCAAATAGGATAAGGACTAAAAAGAAATAGAAAATAGCTTCAGGAGTTTGTTTGAAAAAGAAATCAGATTACATTACAATAAAAAAGAAGTGAATATGAGGTGAGAAATTTGAAATGATGAATATTGGCTATCCTTTCACATCCCTCCCCGGCCGTGATCGTTCACCGGTGGGGTCCCTCAGCCTGGCCTGCTCCCTCTTGCAATCTGGGCTGAGGGACCCCACCCCCACCCCGAGTACACGAATATCGTGTACTGGGCCTCTACTATATATATATGAATTTAGGTGAAACCACAACAAAATCATAGTTAGGTTTGATAGTGTAATGTAAATCTTTAATATAGGAAACATTTTTAAAAGAGAATTTTAAGTTTTATTCATATAAATGAACATATATGAAATTTAATAGATTTTTCTATGCTTTCTATTGCTTTGTAGCAGTCTGTGATTTTCATTTTTACTCTGATTTGCTTTCTCATTTTAGAAACTTGTCAAAACTGGAGAAAATAATTGGTCTCTGCCCGAACTGGTACATGCTGTGGTCCTACTGACACATTATCATGCTTTGGCAAGCTTTGTTTTTGGTAGTGGCATCAATCCGGAGAGAGATCCAGAAATCTCCAATGGATTCAGGCTAATATCAGTCAACAATTTCTGTGTTTGTGACCTCGCTAATGACAACAACATAGAGAATGCATCCCTTACAGGCAACAACTTCGGGGTCAGTTTTCTCCTCTCCTTATTGTTTTGCCTTTGTAATTTCTTTCTTTCTTTTTTTTTTTTAAAATATATATTTTATTGATTTTTTTTTTACAGAGAGGAAGGGAGAGGGATAGAGAGTTAGAAACATCGATGAGAGAGAAACATCCATCAGCTGCCTCCTGCACACTCCCTACTGGGGATGTGCCCGCAACCAAGGTACAGGCCCTTGACCGGACTCAAACCTGGGACCCTTGAGTCTATCCACTGAGCCAAACCAGTTAGGGCACCTTTGTAATTTCTAAAATTAAAAATATCTAGAGGGCCCAGCTGGTGTTGCTCAGTGGTTGAGTGTTGCCATGAACCAAGAGGTCACCGGTTCAATTCCCAGTCAGAACATATGCCTGGGTTGTGGGCTCGATTCCCAGTAGGTGGCATGCAGGAGGCAGCCAATTGATGCTGTTTCTCTCTCATCAATGTTTCTAACTCTATCCCTATCCCTTCCTTTCTCTCTAAAAATCAATAAAAACATTTTAAAAATATCTACAGAGAATTTATTCTCTGATTAAATAGGATATATATATCCAAATATATTTATATTTGACATATTTTAGCATAATTTTTACTATAAAAATGTATCCTGTACCTGAAATTCTGAATTGTCTTGAAGAGGCTTTTACAGCAAATAGATATTATTACAAATCATAAAGACTAAAAAACAAGGCTGCATTCCAGTGATCCTAGGCTTTTAATGTTAGACCCTTTGAACAGCAGATCCTAGAACAGTTTATCTTTGGTCCATAAGATGCTGGACCAACCAATAGAAAATATATCTTATGACAGAAAAATTAGAAATTTGAAGCAGCCTCACTTTAAAAAATAAACCATAATATGATTTAATATATACCAAATGCTAGAATTCTAGATCAAATATATCTCTAAACTTTCTACTGGTATATTTTATAACTGAGGTAAAAACATCATACTTCTGAAAATGTTTGAAGCTGTGATATGATTTTCTTTGGAGTTGGTGGAAATCCCACTCAGGAACTTAATAATAGTACTGATGCCTCTGTACACCACAAGGTGACTGTGGGAGGTAGAGATGTTTACTGGAACCACTTCTAATATTAATAACACCATCATCTTACCTGTCTCCAGATTGTAGGTTCCCTAAGTGAGCTGGAGGCCTTAATGGAAAGAATGAAAAGGCTTCAAGAAGAAAGGGAAGATGGAGACACATCTCAGGAAGAAATGACCACTCGTTTTGAGAAGGAGACGAAAGAAAGTCTTTTCGTTGTCTCTGGAGATACTTTTCATTCATTTCCTCATTCAGGTGCCTTTTTTTCACTATCTTTTAGTTGTTCTTGGAACCCTGACAGACCACCTTCAGTGTTTTCCATGTGTATTTGTAAAAATGATTGTGCTACCACGTTCCTTTTATTTCTTCCCCGTCCTCTGCGTTAATAGATGGTATACCTGACACTGTTGCTTCCTCTATTATGTTGGTTCATCTCTGAATATATTTCAGATCCAGTTGGGAGGAACGCCCAACTTTGTACTTCATACTCTATCCTGGATAAAATGTAATTCAAAGCAGACCAGTAGCTTATAAAATTAGATAGAAATATTTAATTCATCCTATTTTTGTGAATTTTTTTTTCATGATCAGTGAAATCCTGTTTCAATAGATATAATTTTTTAAAAATATCTCTGCCTTTTTTGTGGGTGGAGAGTGTGTAGGAGGACTATTCTCACACTGCTGCTTTTCCACGTTAGTTTAAAATTACATTGTACTTGCATTTGCATTTCTTTGGAGAAATCTTTGGAATTTATAAAAACATATTATTTGGGTTATTTTCTTAGGTTGAATTTGGAGGAATTTATTCCATACTTAAAGCTAGGCTTCTTTGCTGTAGTCTTAAACATACGTTTTTATCTAATACTCTAAGAGACTTTGAAAAAGGAGGGAAACTTTTTAATTATGACTAAAAAAGATATTAAACACCATGTAGTAAGTGTTATTAAAATAGCATAGACTCAGTAGAAAGCTTAAATCCTTCAAAGTCATCCATCTACATAACATTTATTTTTAAATAGAGTTCCATTTTGGTTTAAAAGGGGGCTTCAAAATGACTAGTCTTAAGACTAGTCAGTCTCATAAGTTCTGAGAGTAATTGATTTGGCCATACTTATTTGTTAACTTTAAACATAGCATCAACCAATAGCTCTCGGAAATTTTACCAGGAAAAATAAGAATTCCTTTTATCATTTCTCATGATGATCTTTTTTTTTAAATGAAGATTTTATCCTCAAAATTGAGTATATTAAGTACTAGTTCCTCAGAGCTTCTAATCAGTATTAAATCCCCCCCAAAAAGGAAACCTGGTGTTTTAGTTATTTGTTTAATATTCGCTCTACAAACATTTACTGAGTCCCCCATATGCTCTCAGCACTGTGGCAGATAGATTTTCAGCCTACATGAGGCATGGTTCCTGCTTCCAGGGAGCTGTCATTGCTGGTGGGAAAGGGAAGTAGAGTGGAATGCAGAAGGTTTGTGAGCCCAGAAGAGGACCCTGAACCCAACCTTAGTAGGGGGAGGAGTGTGGACAGAAGGGGTGCCCAGAGGATGACTTTCTCCAACCATTTGGCTCTAAGCTGAGTCTTAGATCTTAAGTGCAGGGATGTCAGGCAGTGGCTGGGGGACAGGGGAGTTGGTATAAACAGCATCCACGCCTGAGCCAAGGCACGATGGTAAGGAAATAGGATGCTTGCTTCAGGAACAAATGGCCGTGTTGTTAGGACATAAATCATGAGATAGGTAATGTGACAAGGAGCTGGGTAGGTGGACAGGGTCTTATCATGGTGATTGATCTTTCTAACCTTAAGGAACAGATAAGCTGCCTTAGTTTGGACATTTGGAGTTCCTATGTGTATACAACATCCAGTCCAGGGATGTCTGCCCAGTGGTTCTCAAGCTTTGCTGTGCATGTGAGTCACTGGGGAATCTGGCTGGAGCGCAGTCAGTCTGGGCTAGGACGGGATAGGCCACACTTTCTGTCACAGCTCCAAGTGGGACTAATGCTAGTCTGCAAACACACTTGGAGTAGTAGTGTGACGATCAGGAGAGGGCTTTTAGCTCAAGATAAAGTTTTGGAAGTTTTCAGCATATAATTAGGGGTTAAAATCAAAATAATGATAAAAATCATCCAGGTAGAACAAATGGGACAACGAACAATAATGAGCCTAGGGCCCTGGCTGGGTGGCTCAGCTGGTTGGAGCGTAGTCTCATACACCAAAAGGTGGCGAGTCAATCCGTCGATGTCTCTCTCTCCCTCTTTCTCCTCCTTCTTCTCCCTACCCCCATCCTTCCTTCCTCCCTTTCTCTCTCTCTCTCAAATCAATAAAAAAATTAATTATTATAATAGTAATAATGAGCCTAGAGTTAACCTTATAAGTAAGCCAATATTTTTAAATGTAAACATTTTTATTAAAGTTACTAATATCTATTGCTTTTAGACATTACTTTCTAAGAGCTTCTCTAAGATCACTAGAGTTTAAAAGATACGTTTTTGTTTTTATTTTTTACTACTGAAAATCTTTCCTGGATCCCAGTTTCTATCTTCCTGGACCCTTGAGCAGGACTACTGCCTTCTAAAATGAATTTTTGACTAGCAAGTCTTAGACCCTAGCCAAAAAATTGTGTTCTAATTTTAACAGAAGAGGCTGTATCATTTGTAAATCATTCAAGGAAATAAATCATTTCATTATTTACTCTTAAACATTCCCAGTACTAAATGTGCTGGTCACACAAAGATAAGTTAGAAAAATAACTTCATACACTGGCTAATTGAGTCATTTTTATAAAGTTAGCAAAGTTTTAAAATAGAAATTTAGTTTTTCCTATGCAAAATTTCTTGGTTTAAAAAAAATTAAAAAGTAAAAAATTTCTTGGTTTAACCAGTGTGATAAAGCATTCCAGATTCTATGGGGAGATTCTAACAATAGATTTCAAGTCTTTTGAAGGTAATAAATATTTAAAGTGTTATATGGGGGTGATATTCTGTAGCTTGGTAACAGTTAACTAGCTTTTATTGGGTGTATTTTTTTTCAAGTTAGAAAGGTGTTTCGTTATTATAGCATAACGTTTTCTGTATTTTATTAATAGTTACTTCTTAGGGGCAGAAGAGTGCAGACAAAGTGCAAAATACTATTTGTTTTCAGTTCAGACTTTGAAATATTTATTTAGGTAGAATTAAAGTGAGAGCTTTAGATTTGTTAATCACAGTACTAATTTTAATTTTTTTAAACTTTAACATCTTAAGATAAATTTAGGAAAAAGATATATGTGGTTTGAGAGATCTTTGTATATTTTTTTTCTGTAGATAAAACTGTCTAGAAAGCAGGTCTCAATTGACTCCTAATATAAAAATAAATGAATGGATAGTATTCATATGATACATTTTTATGTTATTTGGTTAGTTACTCTTCATTGTTTAAAGATGTTTAAAAGTCATATGACAATCCAAATAGGTATATGAGCAAGACAAAAACTAACGTTAAAGTCAAAAGAACCAGCTAAGTAATAGTCAACTCCAGTATTGATTTTTGTCAACTGAAACCACCAGGCTGTACAGTGTGAGGGGAAAATCACTTCAAGAGAGAAACTGTTTTACAGAGTTTAGTTATCACTTACTGTGCTTGGTTTAATTTTACTTTGCACTCCACAAAACTAACTTTCATTGTGGCCTCAGCAATTGCATTTTTTTTTGCTTTATTTTATTGATTATTATGGGATGGACAAGCTTAACCTCATTGGTAAATGTTAAGAAATAATGCATTGAAAACGCCATTTATAAAGCATTTCTATTTACCTGGAATAGAGAACTGGAGCATGAGGAGGAGGCAGCAGAGTGGTTGAGGAGTGGTCCAGGGGAGCCTGAGATTTCTCTTTAGAGCTGAAAGTCACTTTGAAGCTTTAGACCAATTTCAGTGATTTAATGTTTACAAGTTATCCATGTCATCTTAAACTAATCCACATTGTATTTCTTTCTGACACTCAGTACCAACAATAGTATTCCTAACTTACACTTGGTTTACTTATGTCTTAAGTAGATATTTCTTTTACTATTAATGAAACAAAGAAAAAATAAATAACAGGTACGTAGCATAGTATCTGCTATAGAGTAAGTACTCAACAATGCCAGTCTCATTGGTGTAATTAAGGAGTTAGGTAAGAATTTCAGTAAAATATTTCCTAGGTTGGGTAGTCTGGGCACTTGATCTTTCTTGCCTTATTATCAAGCACTCTAATTAGTCCCTGCTAATGACCCAAGGAAGGTCAAAACTTGTTGGAAAAGAATACTTATTGTGAGGCTTTTCATGAAATAACAAAGATTAAATAAAGATAATGAAGGTACTACTAGTTTACCAGGTCTTCAGATGAATTACTATAATTGCACTTATTTTTTAAGCCTATCAACACTGTCCATTAGTTTTTATTATGCCATAAAATTGTTTTAACTATTTAATATATATTTATTTATTAAATATTTAATGTATTTAATATTAATTAAAATACTAAGAAAATATTGTTCTTTGTGTGGAAGGAGCTAGTTTTTTCATTTATTTTTTAAAATATATGTTTATTTTTTATAACAGAAGGTAGTAAATAAAGGTTGTTCATTTCCTTTTAGTGGTTGAAATCGGGAAAATGATTATAAAGATTAACCTAAAAAAGTTAGTTAAAAGATAATTATCTTTAAATTAAATTAACATGCATTGGGTTTTTACAATTTCTCAGTGGTGAATTTTTAATATTATCAAGAATGCAGAAATTATTGTAGTCTTCCTATCTTCCTTAATGCCACTTTGATAGTATTCCATTCACAGTCTCATTAGCATATTGTTTACTCCATATGTTGAATACCTTTTCTTTTCATGTGCACAGAAAAGCACAATATCTTAGGTGTAGAACTCAATGAATTTTCCCAAACAGAACCCTCCTGTTTAACTGACAGCAAATCAACTAAGAATAATAGTGACTCCTGAAAGTCCACTTTCCTCACTGTTCCCAGTCCTTCTCCTTATTATGCCTCTTGGTAAATTAAAAATGAACTCATTTTCCCTGTGAATCCAGATGAAACACCATCTATCTAATTTTAATAAAATTTCTCTTAACATTCCGCTCACTTAAAGTGCTCTTTACCTTCACCTCTTCTCTTTCCCCACATCCCACTTCATCCCCAGAAAGATCAAAAGTTTAAGCATTTTAACCAGAGGCCTGGCTATCTTCCTTGTCTAAATGTACTACTACTATTTAGGTATTTTAATTTCATCAATTTTTTGACTGAGTAATAACTATAGTTAAATGCTAAGATGGCCAAGATTTGGTAATGAAATTGTATTCGAAACTTCAGTAGTAGATATTTTATTTGAATTTAAGCCAGGTAGTCAGTATTGTCACTTTGGAAATCCATGGAGAAGCTAAAAAGTGGAGGAAAATGGAGGGGTTTCATTGTTCTAACTAAGTGGTTTCCCTAACACTAGATTGTTATTGTTCTTAGATTTTGAGGATGACATGATTATAACATCTGATTGTTATTGTTCTTAGATTTTGAGGATGACATGATTATAACATCTGATTGTTATTGTTCTTAGATTTTGAGGATGACATGATTATAACATCTGATGTCTCCCGATATATTGAAGACCCCGGTTTTGGGTATGAAGACTTTGCTAGACGAGGAGAAGAGCATTTGCCAACATTCCGAGCTCAGGTATGAGATATCTGTATTTCAGATAAAATAGAGAATAAATACTGTTATTTTTAACTGTGACATGTTGAAATGTAAATAATTTGACTTCTAAAGAAATTAACAGGTCATTTTGGTAGAGTCTGTAAATCATTTTATTTAATCTTGTCTTCTGCCTAGTTTAATTTGATGTCTTAATAGGTAGATTATTATTTCAACACTAGAGGCCCGGTGCATGAAATTCATGAATGGGGGGGTCCCTCAGCCCGGCCTGTAATGACGCCAGCGTCCCTCGCCCTGGCCTCTGGCCCGAGGCCCCTCCTTTCCCTCCGCGCGGCCAGGGCGTGGACGCTGGGCTTGCATTGCCGGGGCGACACAGCCAGCGTCCCACCCTTGCCACTATGAGTGCCGCCATCTTTGTTGTGGCATGATAGTTAATTTACATATTACTCTTTTATTAGATAGGATATTCCCAGCTAAGAAGGCAAAAGGGAAAGGTTTTCTTCAATTACTGCATTATTGCATTGTAGTTGTATAATATTCATGCCATTTTGGGGGGAGGGGCATAGCAGAGAAGAAACCCAGTGATGTATTATATCACATTTATAATAAAAAGACATTTTGTAATATGATCCTAAATCGGTAGCTAATGGCTTCAGAGTTATCCCCTCCCCACCCCTAGAAAAAACAGTCACAATAATGATGTGACTCCTAAAGTGGGTGCAAATTTGAATTAAGACAAACTCCATTGTGCCTATTTCAGATGATCTGCTAACTGTCCATGTCATTGAATAGGTTTGGTCACATAGGAATAGTCCAAGATCTTCTGGGGTTCTTTCAGATAAGAGCGTAGTTTGCATAGCATTTGACCACAGGAAGTAGCCAGTTTATTACCAACATGCTACACCCTGAACCCCACTGAGGAAATAGCATGGCACTCCAATCTACAAACTGATGTGAAGGCTTTTTAGCAAAGCTACAAACTTAGAAATAAATTTGAATATCTTCATTTACTTGCTGAAGTAGTTATAGTTAATAAAAACCTAGAGCAGTGATTCCCAAAGTGGGCGCTACCACCCCCTGGTGGGCGCTGCAGCAATCCAGGGGCATTTGGGGGCATATATCTTTCTGTTTAATTGCTATTAAAATTTTAAAAAAATTAATTTCCAGGGGGCGCTGAGTAATATTTTTTCTGGAAAGGGGGCGGTAGGCCAAATAAGTTTGGGAACCACTGACCTAGAGTTTACTTAGATGAAGAATGCCCATTTTGTAAGTGTATACATTTTACTCTTTTAGGACTATACCTGGGAAAACCATGGGTTCTCCCTGGTGAACAGACTTTATTCTGACATTGGACATCTTCTTGATGAAAAGTTTCGCATGGTCTACAGTCTCACCTATAACACTATGGCCACCCATGAAGATGTCGACACAACCATGCTGCGCAGAGCTTTATTTAACTATGTCCACTGTATGTTTGGAATCAGGTATGCTCGTTGTGGAGACGGGTTTACACATTTCTAAAAGAAAATTCTGACACTAGCCTTACTCCTGTCCTGTTTAGGAGTATGTATTTTGCGGAGAAAATATTACATGTGGACTTCTGATTTTGGAAAATTAATTCCATTTTATAGAAAAGCATTTTTCTATGGTTAACTGTTGTGAATATTAATATGCATATGTAAATACAGTAGTAACAATTTACTAACGAGGGAAGAAAATACCAGGAATCATTGGAGATAGGACAAAATCAGACTCAGTTTGAGAATGCTTCCTGGAAGAAATAGCAGTTAAAAACCATATATTGTATTCCTTTAGATCACTTTAATAAATGCTGGTTGGTTGGTTAGTTAGTTAGTTAGCTTGAATGAATGATAATTAGGGTATAAATAAAACTAGAATAGATTCTTCTCTCATAAAGCTTGCATAAGTTCACATAAAAACACTGAAAGAAAACTGTCAGTCAATGTAAATTAATAGCCTCTAAATTTTTTAAAGATTAGCATTGAGAGGACAGTGAATAAATGAGATTGAATAGTCTAATCATGGTGTAATCAGGAAAGCTTTTTTTTTTTTTAATGTGCCCTTTTGAGCGGTTTTTTGAGCCTTTATGGAGATAGATCTGTAGAAAAAGAAATCCCCAGATGTGGATGCATTCAGTTTGACTCTGTACTATGTTCTTTCGGATATAGTATCAGAAAGTCTCTGTGAAGTGGAATTAGAATTTAAGTGAAGTAGTTTCTATAATTTTAATGTAAAAAAATTTTTTTCTGAAAAATCAACATTCTACCTAGAAGACACTATTATGATGATAAATAGTAATTGCTGTTTACCCACTTACCATCCTAGACAATAAGTTATCACAGAATCATTACATTTTAAAACAGATATTATACCTACCTAATTAAGAAAAATAAACAGCAATAGAATTTAATTCAGTTGTGATAAATGTTTATTCGTGACAATAAATAACAAATGTTATGGTGACTTTATCTCTAAGATGCTACTAAATAAAGCTTATATAAAATTCTTGAGATACTATTTTTTAAGCATTGTGTTTGGGTTAAATATTAACTGAAAATATAGACCAGAAATTCTACAAACCCCACTGCATTTACCCTCCTGTCTGCTTCTGTGCATACTTCTTTTGGCTCCTCTTATTGTGGATGAACTATCTATGCTCCTATGCCCTTGGGCACAAAGTCCCATCTCCTCTCTTCTTCTAAAGATCCTTATTCTAGCAATCTCCCCTCTCCTGCGTGATCACCTTTACTCTTGCTATTGGGTCTTTCCCTTCTGTATATAAACATGCATTTCTCTCATCTGTAAACAGATTCTTTTTTAAAATATGATTTTATTGATTTTTAGAGAGAGATGAAGGGAGAGGGATAGAGATAGAAACTTGGATGAGAGGAACAGCATTGATCTGCTGCCTTCTGCACACCCCTTACCGAGGATCAAGCTTGCAAACTAGGCATGTGCTCTGATGGGGAATTGAACCAGAAACTTCTTGGTTCCTGGGTCTATGCTCAACCACTGAACCACACTGGCTGGGCTGAACAGATTCTTTTTCTTCATCATGCTTTTCCCTCTGACTGTTGCCTCATTTTTCTGCTCCTGTGCACAGCAAATCTCTTTGGTAGTATATTTACTATCACCATTTTCTTAACTCTCATTCTCTCTTGAAACCACTATCTAATTGAGGTTTCCAGTGACCTCTGTACATGCTACTTTGGTGGTCAGTTTCCAGTTATTATCTTATTTGAGTCGTTACTCCTTCTTCCTTGGAACACTTGACTCCTACTTAGGGCTTTATACTTGCTCCTGGTCTTTGCTCAGATGTTGACCTCTCAGAGAGGCCTTCCTATCTAAAACCACAGTTCCTCTCCTCCTAGCCCCCAGTTTCACTTTATCTCCATAGCAGTTCTCACCATCTGACATACTATGTTTATCTTTTTAACTTTTTTTTTGCTCCAATAGAATTTAAATTCTACAAGACTGTGGGTTTTTGTCTATTTTGTTCATTTGCATATCACCAGTGCCTAGAAGAGTACATGGAAAGCACATGGCACATAATGGGCACTCAATAAATATTTTTAGATGAATTTAATTAATGAGCTTTTGGTACTTAAATGACTGGACAATAAATGTCTCTATTACAGCTTTAGAAATCAGAAATTGTGATTTTGTCATTATAAAGCTGTTGTCATTACTCATAGGTATGATGACTATGATTACGGAGAAGTTAATCAATTACTTGAACGAAGCCTGAAGGTTTACATTAAGACAGTGACCTGCTATCCTGAGAGAACTACCAAGCGCATGTATGATAGTTACTGGCGTCAGTTCAAACACTCAGAAAAGGTGTGTTTCATGACTAAACATTATACCATAGATAGATGTTCAATATAAGAAGTAATGATTATAAAAATATTAATAAATTAGTGCCATTATAGAAATGGAAGTGGCATAATCTAGCCAACTTTTTTTAAAATATATTTTTAGCCTTAGTCTGTTTGCTCAGTGGATAGCTCGATGGCATGCAGACTGAAGAGTCCCAGGTTCGATTCCAGTCAAGGGCACATACCCAGGTTGGGAGCTTGATCCCTGAGGAAGGGAGAGGGAGAGAGAGAAAAAAACATCAATGATGGGAGAGAATCATTGATTGGCTGCCCCCTGCACACCCTCTACTGGGGATCCAGCCCGCAACCTGGGCATGTGCCCTGACCGGAAATCAAGCTGGTGACCTCTTGGTGGATAGGATTGTACTCAGTCCACTAAGTGACACCAGCCGGGCACAAGAGCCATTGCCATTTTTTATAAACAGTTTTCTTGTGAGTTTCACATCATGTGCATGTATAGCAATGCCCAGGCCTGTATGTTTGTATATGAGTCTTTATACACAAGAAAACCTTTGTGAATGTCTGCTCTATGAAAAAAGTTTAAAGTTTATCAGTTGTTTATAATTGTCATTAAATTGATAACATTTTCATTTCCAGGTTCACGTCAATTTACTGTTAATGGAAGCACGGATGCAAGCTGAACTTCTGTACGCTCTTCGTGCCATAACTCGGCATTTGACCTGAAGCCTCACCCAGGGAAAATGTCAGATGTGTGTAAAGACCTTTTCACATAAGATATATACATCAGAAGCTGTTTGTGATGTAGCATCAAAAGTTATTCAGTTCTCTGTGTCAAAGTTTAGCCGTTTTGGGGGGCGGCTGTAATGTGCAATGATGTGTTTTCTTTTTCTTGATGCTTAACATTACTAACAATTGCGAAAATAATACTGAGGAGCACTACTTTGCATTGTTTATAGTTGGAGTTTTGGAAACTGATCATAAATCATGAACCTGGTTTGTTAATGCTTAACTTCAGCGCTTTGGGGTTTGTGTGTATGTGTATTTCTCTCCCCACCTTTTTTTGTTGTCGTTAAATGAGGAAAAGCGCTTACAATCTACTCAAGCAATTGTTTATTCAGATGTTGGAATTCAGCAAAGAATAACCTCCTCTGGCCACTCCACTTTTCATGGTGTGTCCTAAATCTGGCAGAGGAAAAGCATGCGCCATTGAACTAAGCTGCTCACAGGACACAGCCCTGTGTCCCCAGGAGATTATTGTCAGGCACTGTTTGGTTTTCTTGTTTGTTTTCGTTTTTTTTACTGCTATTGGCGATAACGTGAAATGTGATACAGCCATTGTCCATAATTTAATGTGAAATTAATCATGATGAATTCTATAGCATGCTACTGAAATGCCAAATTCAGCTATTTTCTTTCTCTTCTGAAACAGAAGTTTCAGTTTTCCATATCAGATGTGTATATTAAAGGTGGAATTATACACAGTCCTTCCTATCACTGACAGTAATCCTCCGTCACCTTCAGTTATCAGTGCTCACAGTGCTGCTTATAGTTCATTTAGTTGGCACATGTAATCTTGTACCCACACTAGGCTGACCAAAAATTTTGTTTGCACATTTTTCTTTTCTCATAGTGTTTTCTATATTGCAGTACGCAGAAGAAGGTTACTATTCCTATATTTTTTTCCTGTTAGGCTTTTAGAACTTATTTTCCATGATTTTTCTTATAATAGGTTAAACAGTTTATTATTCAAAGGTAAAAATTGTGTTTCTATGCATTAATGTGAATGAACAACAACAACAGAAAGAGTGCAATATGTTAAAGAAACATACTAAACTTCCCCCCTATTATGTCACTGCAGAAGTGTCCTTTAAGACAGAGCCATAAAGAAATTTGGTTCAGATTTCTTTATTGCACAAGGCTTTCCCCTTACTGGGGTTGACAGTGTTCCTTTCATAAAGCCAAAGCACCCCCTTCCCCAGAAAAATCTCTTTGGACGACGAGTTTAAAAATAATGAACAAGTCTTAGGGGAGGAATATAAGCATCCAAAAAGTCACATTGTTGCATTGGTTTATGTTGCTTGATTAGACTATCTTCACAGAGCACAACATTATGTGTTTATAGCTTTAATTTGTGTTACGTTAATGAACCAGCGAAGTGCCTAAAGAGATGCTTACAGCCATCCGATGGGACACAACTGCACGGCTTAAACACTTTGTGGTTAATTAATGGTGACTTGAATTGTACACCAACATGCTAATTTTTTAAAAGCAGATCAATTTTTTCCTAGTAAATAATAGTAAATAGTTAAAATTTTTGTTAGATTTCCCACAAAGATTTCATTTTAGACTTATTTGTTATATAGGACTTACTTTTTCCCCCCTCTCATGAAAGAATAGTGGGCTAGTGTTTTGTTTAATAATTCCCTCCCCCCCCCCTTCCATTTATCATCCTTTTCTGGTACAATGCAGTAGGTTGCTTTCTTTTAGATTTTGTTCCAGATGACTGTGAGCCCAGTAACATAAGGCAGTTCTGCATTTTTGGATTCCAGGATCTTCTTTGAAAACTTCCATGTGAGGAAAAAACAATGAATTTTTTAAAGACGAGGGTGGTTTATTTAAAGAGATTACTCAAAGAACTTGTGCCAGGTTTCTTCTGTTTTGTTTATTGATATGCCATATATTGGCTTTATTCAATATCACATTATATAGATATGTATTTTAAAAGTATATAGGAGAATGGCAAAACCTAGACGACAACATTAATGTCCATTTAACTTTCCAAACTTTAGAAAACTTTCAAGTTGAGGATCTCTTTTATTCTTGACATTTGTTTTTTTAATAGGAATCCTTCAGTTAATAGCCCTATGTTTGTGCAGGGGACCTCTATTACAGGAGGAAGATGATTGTTATATATTGAAAAGGAAGAGAAATTCTCACAGAACACCATATGAGCTTTAGACCAAAAGAGGAAACAAGGCTTAAGTAACTAAAATGGCCACTTCATTTTTATTTTTTGCTTTTTTCCCCTCAGAAATGTAAGTAGTTGGAGTTTGGGTTACGGAAATTTAGTGCCTTTCCTAGATCTCTTTCCTAGCAAGGTTTCTTTCCTCAGCATTGATCCATCTCGTCAGTAATCAGGAAAATAAGTTGGCTTGGAACTATAAACAGAAACAAAACCATCTATTTATGAACCTCAGTGAACCAGCCTAGAGAAGGTGACCTCTGGAGGTGCTTGATTAAGCACCTACTCAGACGCATGCGCAGCATTCCAGGTTGTGGATACCATTTTACAGCGAGCTTGCTGTGGACTTTATCTAATGCAGACTTGAAATTCCGATGCGGTTTTCCAGGGTGGTATTTTTTCAGAGTATTGAATTTACTATGTAGTAATTTATAGTATAGCTTTTTATATTAAAATGTGATATTTTTAAAAGAGCTATCTGGTTCAATTGGTGAAGTGATGTGGTTATACGAGACTCTAACCTATCCCATGGGCTCACATCGTGCCAAACTTTAAATGTACAAGTGTACGTGGAAAAAAAAGCACATGCGAATGTGAATTCTCTACCTTCGTAGCTTATTATGTTAAAGTTAGTTTAGTCACCCACTGATGTAAACACTTGATCAATGTCGATTTACTTTGAATTTCAAGTTTTCCAGTTTCCGTTGCAATTCTTCCTTTCTCAGATCCCCTTAAGAAATATCTAAATACTCTGCCATCTGAAAGTGAATCTGTCCTTTAGCCCGATCCCTTAACCACAGCAGTGGCCTCATGGGATTCTTGAGATTAGGCCTTCTCGGCCAGACTCATAATATGTAGAGGAAAAGAGGCTTTTACCTTCCTCACCTTTTTGAACTAAGTATATTGTCTTAGTCTGGGGAAGGATCTTTGTCTCATTTGGGGTACTTTTAAAATAAAAGATGGCCAGTGTGGAATCTGGGGCATGGCCTTGGCCTTTAATCATGGCTTCAAACCCAAATAATAGCCAAGCTTCACAGGGCTGTTTTAGAACAGAAAACTCAGTGTAAGCTTTATATCAAAATTCTATTTGAACCAGAACCCCTATTTTAATTGTGTTACAGTCTCCTAAAATTTTTCAGTGCTTCTAAAAGCTAACATTATTTCAGAACTGTTTTTCCTTTTCCACCTTACAGAGGTTTTTTTTTTTAATCCAAAAACTTAGATTTTTATGCCACAGCAAAACAAAATTAATCAACAAAGATCTGTGCTTAAAAATAGTTCTCCACTGTAGTGCAGAGTGCATGCATATATGACGGTAACATTCTTTTAAACTCTAAGGAAATTCATCAGGGAGAAATAAATAAGTTTCAGTGCATATTATAAAAATGATCTGCACTGTACTAGTAGAATGAGGTTTTTGTGTTGTTTTATGTTGTGTTTAAAGACAATTCTGATTTATTCCTCCAGAAAGCAAGACCTTAAACTCTTTATTAATAGGACTTTTTCTTTTTATGCAAATAGATGGTCTTACACAGAATAAACTTATGCAACCATAATGTTATATAAATAGTATATGAAATGTTCTTAGGATAATTGAACAGCAAATGGAAACACATATGGCTATACTGTTCAGATCAAGTTTTAAGTTAGCTAATCTGTACAATCAGAGCCTATTCTAGGTGGACGTCATCATAAACTGTGTTTCCCTATAATATCCCTCTGGAGACTGAGAATCAAAATAAGTAGTCTTTCCTCGAAGCAGTACTGTAACATGAATGTATTCATCTCAGTCAACAGAACTTACATGCCCCCTGTATGTGGAGCTTATTTTCATGCTAATGTGGCTTAGTTAGCAGTGTCTGCTCAGGTGAGACCTAGAACAAAAACAGCAGGGATGAAATGGATCATCAGAGGTAGAGGTATATGTCAAGGCAGAACCTGGTGAGGAAGGAAAAGGTTTTCAAAGAACACATGGAACATAATTCCGAGACAGTGGCTGTCCTCAGCATCATACACTTATTATAAAGGACATTTCCCATCGTGGGAGCTCCTGCCTGCATTCCATCCACCCTTCCCGCCTGCTTTCTCTTCCTCCAAGTGCCTCAACCTCTACCCGCTCCCTCTCCTCCCCTTCCCTCAGCCCATCTTGATCTGAATGCCTTGTCACACTACAAACCAAACATCACCAGCCACCTGCTGATAGTCACCAGCATTTACTTTACCGAGTCATTTTTTTCTCCATTGTCCCAACTCCCTCTAAATTCCACAGCCATCCAGCTATATTTTGGCTAATCCTTGCCCCAGATGCCCTACCAGATATTACGCAGCACCAAGTGTAACCCTGTCCATCCCAGACTGTTCCACCTTTCCCAGCTGCCAAAATGTCTTGCTCTCCTCTACCTCATCCCCAAAGAGCCTGTAAATTCAGAGTATCCAACCTTTTCATGGATTCACTCTCTGTTGTTCAGTAATACTACTTCCATAGTTTAAATAAATCATAGAAGATTTTTGCCTTCTAACAAAGTAGGAATCTTTATATTTATACATGATACAGAAAGTGAACTATTTCTACCATGCAGAATTTAGCACTTAACAGGACTTTAAAGTGATTGAATTGCCATTCTACCCGGATCTGTATTAGGTAGTTAATACTGGTATTAGTCCAAGTTATTTGAATGTGAAGTTAAAGTTCCCCAGGAGTCCAGACGGATCTGTACCCCTTCCGTGAAACGGGGTTTCTGGCATACAGATGGGCGGTGTTTCAGATCACTGGTTTTATTTGGTGGTACCTGAGCCTTGGAACACATGTCTGGCAGGAGGATATCTGATAAAAGATGGTTAGGTGGTCCTGTTGGATCCCGGAAGCCCACTTGATCATAATATGTTTAAAATGCCACAAAATAGGCTGCATGAGGGTTTGATGAAGCTTTCCTGGGTTAGACTAAGCTTCTCGGCGGTGTTTCAGATCACTGGTTTTATTTGGTGGTACCTGAGCCTTGGAACACATGTCTGGCAGGAGGATATCTGATAAAAGATGGTTAGGTGGTCCTGTTGGATCCCGGAAGCCCACTTGATCATAATATGTTTAAAATGCCACAAAATAGGCTGCATGAGGGTTTGATGAAGCTTTCCTGGGTTAGACTAAGCTTCTCACCACCCCCATGGAGAGGGAATGCATTGCCTTTGTCATCTGTATTTTCTGGCTGCACTTCGGTACATCCAGACAGTATCTGTGAGGAGCAGGAAATGCAGAGGAGGAAGACGCAACAGTTCTTCCTCTCCCGCCAGTGTGTACTCGTGTCGTCACAGAGGAAAACTTGTCAGGTTTCTAACATGGGGCGGGTTTGTCTATCGATGGTTGTCTGGCCTGGGGACAAACGAACCACCTGTTTGAAAGTATCGATTATTAAGATCAATGGTGGCATCTGGATGCTGTCCACTCCCATTCATGAGCAACCCAACCTGACAGAGTCTAGTCAATGCCTTTAAGGGCCCAGGAATGAATCAATGCCTAGCTAAGGAATGAGACAGTAATGGAGACTTAAGGAATGGTTTTTATTAAATCGTATGTCATGAAGTATTTGTTCCAGCTTTAAATTCATCATGGCTGCACCACCATGAAGTATAGAATTGAAAAAAGGAGATAAGAAGTGGGGGGAAGGAAGACTATCTGATTCTTTGCAGTGCTTGTGGAAATTTCTGGGAAAATGAAATGCATACTATAAAATAGCCTTTAGAACAAACACCCCATTTTATAGCTCATAGGACAGTATCAAACATTAGTAAGTTTAAATGTGACAAATATAACTCTTGGTATATAAATTTGCAAAAACAGTCTCTTCTCTTCCACCCCTCAATTTAACCTCTTAAAAGCGAATGTATGAATCCTGGTTAGCTAGATGTATCCATCATGACACCGAATGAAATGGATTGTACATCTCTTTCTTAATCAGTCTTCACAAATTTTCCAACTGGCTTCTAAGTCTGATATGGAAGGATCAAAATGTAGGCTAAAGGAAACATATCAATTTGTAATATGGAGGCTGTTTTCTCCTGTCTGAATTTTACTGCTTCTCTAAAATAAAATGCAAGAGTTAAATGGTACCCTTGTTCCTCAAGGAACATTATCCAAACTCTATCTAATGCAGATATTTCCTTTGCATTGATATATCTTCCCTGGAAAGAAAATACAATTTTTCCCTCCCTCTTCCTCTTCACATTTACTCTTCTCAACCTAAGACAGGAGAGACAGAAAAGGCAAACCACAGCCAGTGTGGCATCTTTGTGCTACTAGAACAGTGTCATCACAGGCACAGTCTGAGCAAGGTCAAAAAGGACCCTGTCAGGTCGACGTGGAACATGGCCTTGCTACTTGGATTAGCTCCTTCAAACCTGAAAATACCTTTTCTGGTCATGGAAGAACTGGATGTATCCTTTAGCTTATGAAATAGGATTTGAACTTGAAATCTTTTTTTTTAAATCCTGATTTTGCAGGGCAGCTACATGATGAATGTATATATTAAGACTTTGTAGCTGAATTGCACATGAAATCAGATTGCCAACTTCTTGACTTTCAAATTTAGACTTCATTTTATCCTTAAGTGCTGAGCAATATATATAGCATGCTGTGAAATGTCTATTATAGTTCTTTAATTCATCAGTATTAATACAGAATTATCTTTTGCGTTCCTTGGTACTTTTTATTCAATGTAATCAGAAGCTGTGATGTTTTGCCTTTGTAGTCCTGTGCTTTGTTACTGTAATGTTTTTTTACGAAGCACGTGACTTTGGACTATTGTGAGGCAGATGATCTTAAGACTGCTATATATATATCAGTCTCTTACTATATAAGGTTTTCCATTAGAATAAGCTTTTATCAAATAGATCATTGATGAAATTTAGGATTTACACAATTTGCATTGTCAAATGACAGTCTTCTATTTATAGTTTCAATTCCAAAAATAGCAAACTTGATAAACAGCCACTTTAAACGTGTTCTGGTGAACCAGACCCTGCTGTAGATGTAGTCTGAGGTAGTTACCCATATAAGCCTTCTCCACTGTTATACCCTCCACATGAGTCAGCAGTTAAGGAGATTATAGAACCCATGAAAGCTTTTTGTATGTATAACTAGGTTTTATTTTTCTTATGTTGCTGATTTTACAACTCTGACTAAAGCTGACCTGAATGGATCAGTGTATGTGTAATATTCTAGTGCTTTAAATGCCTTTTTTTTTTTTTTGGAGGGATGGGTAATATTATTTGAACAGATGCAGAAGGAACTGTTAGTGAGTCAAGACAAACACATTTGAAATAAAGGAACTGTGTATTAACATGTTAACAATTCATAACTGCACTTTTTATGACATTTTGAAAATCTATTTATAGGTACAGAACAATGGGTTTTGTTAAACTGTATCACATTTATACTTGCAAAAATTTATTTCATTGTTATTAGTAGGAATTTTATT